AGACCCCCACTTTTTATTTTATTTTCTGAATATATAAGATACTTTTAACCATTCTTCTTAAATTCAGTAAAATGTCATTACTTTCAAATGATATTTTTGCTTGTTAAATTTTTAATGGTAGAAAAATGAAATTTTTTGAGTGCAAAAAGGTCAAATAATTGAACATGCGGAGTAATTTGAAAAAAATTTTCGTTGTCACAAATTTTAATGCGTCTATTCAAGATGAAATAAGACTGTGTTTGTTCCCATAATCTATTTGAATAAAAAATATTGGAGGAAAATCTTTAAAAATTGATTTATGTGAAAGACGTATTTACAGTGCAAAAAGGTCAAACTAAATGCTCTGTAGCGCCAAAAGAAGCGCATTGACCCCATTTTTAGGTCACCTGAGTCACTCAGGTGACCTATTGCTATCCGTTTTCGTCCGTCGTCGTGCGTCGTCCGTTGTGCGTCGTGTGTTAACATTTGAACATTTTCAGCTTCTTCTCTGAAACCGCTGAACCAATTTCAGCCAATTTTTGCATATGGCATCTATGTGTGAAGGGGAACAAAAATTGTGAATTTCATGGTCCCTGCCCCCCTGGGGCCTGAGGGGTGGGGCTAAAACCATCAAAATTAATGCAATCTTTAAAAATCTTCTTCTTTACTCCTGGACATCAATCAGTCAAACTGTTGACATGATTGTAATAAGCATTGAGCCCTATACCAAAATTGTGAAATTCATGGCCCCAGGGTCAGGGGTTCTGGTGCTAGGGCGGGGCTATATAGATCATATAGTGAAAGTACATTATTTCTTTGAAAATCTTCTTCTCTACTCCTGGGTATTATTGAAACAAATTGAATACATAGTTATGATAAGCAAAGGTGAGTCTACCAAAATTGTGAAATTCATGGCCCCAGGGTCAGGGGTTCTGGTGCTAGGGTGGGGCTATATAGATCTTATAGTGAAAGTGCATTATTTCTTTGAAAATCTTCTTCTCTACTCCTGGGTATTATTTAAACAAATTAGATACAGAGTTATGATCAGCAAGGGTGACTCTACCAAAATTGTGAAATTCATGGCCCCAGGGTCAGGGGTTCTGGTGCTGGGGGGGGGGGGGTATATAGATCATATAGTGAAAGTGAATATTTCTTTAAAAATCTTCTTTTCTACTCCTTGGTATTATTGAAACAAATTAAATACATAGTTATGATAAGCAAGAGTGACTCTACCAAAATTGTGAAATTCATAGCCCCAGGGTCAGGGGTTCTGGTGCTGGGGGGGGGGGGGGGCTATATAGATCATATAGTGAAAGTGCATTATTTCTTTGAAAATCTTCTTCTCTACTCCTGGGTATTATTTAAACAAATTAAATACATAGTTATGATAAGCAAGAGTAACTCTACCAAAATTGTGAATTTCATGGCCCCTGGGTCAGGGGTTCTGATGCTAGGGCAGGGCTCTATTTATTATATAGTGAAAATGCATTAATGCTTTAAAAATCTTCTTCTCTGCTTCTGGGTATTATTTAAACAAACTAAGTACATTGTTATGATAAGCAAGGACACCTCTTCCAAAATTGTGAAATTCATGGCCCCAGGGACAGGGGTTCTTGTGCTAGGGTGGGGCTATATAGCTCCTACAGTGAAGGTGAATTATTTCTTTGAAAATCTTCTTCTCTGCCCCTGGGTACTATTTAAACAAACTAAGTACATTGTTATGATATGCAAGGATGCCTCTTCTAAAATTGTGAATTTCATGGCCCCAGGGTCAAGGGTTCTGGTCAAAAGGTGGGGTGGGGGGGGGGCTCTATTGATTATATAGTGAAAAAATCAAAATTTCTTTGAAAATATTCTTTTCTGCTTCTGGTTAAAAAGCAAAGAAGCTAAGTTTATAGTTATGATGAGCAAGAGTGCTTCTTCCAGAGTAGTGAATTGCATGACCTCTGGGTCAGATGTGCTGGTATAAGGGTGGGCTGTTGATAATGTAGTGAAAATGCATTAATTCTATTAAATAATCCTGTCTGCTCCTTAATGTTAAGCAGTTAAACAAAGTGATTACTTATGATGAGCAAACTTGAAACTTCTGGTCCCAGGGTGAGAGGCTCTGGTGTTTCTCGGTGGTGAAGGGGGGGGGGGGGAAGGGGCTCTATTGATAATATAGTGAATCTGTAGTGAAAATGCATTATTTCTTTAAAAATCTTCTCTGCACTTGGGCATATCAGAGGCAAAAAGTGTAAAAGTTGTAATAAGGAAGGGTGTTTTTACCAGATTTTTGAACATCTGGACCATTTGGTCAAGTGTTCTGGTCCTAGCCAGGGCTCAATTAGCTCAATTAATTTGCATTCTACTGAGAGGAGTTATTCCCCTTTGCCATTTACTTTTGATAATTAATCATTGTAAATAATGTACTTGAAAAATTAATAGAATAAGATAATTATGCAAGAACTTTTATTGTATAATACAAAAAGTATTTTCATAGTTTTAATGATCATGTGGACTTGTAAGTAATAGATAAATGAAAATGAGACAAAAATAACTTGTCTTATTAAATGTTCATCAAAGACCAAGAGAGGCCAATGTAAGAGATTACAACAAGGAATTAAAATAGTACAAAAGCACTGATAGTTTGTTAATATACTGTATGGTGATAGTGATAAATGGGGAACAGATTAGAACCTAATTTATGAACTGTTAATGAATAGTAGACTAATTATTTTGTTGATCCTGATCACCCTATTTTTCTTGCTTTTGGGCAACAAAGCTTCACCTTTCATTTCATTTTAATACTCTATGGATCCTCTAAAATGTTGTACTCAGGTGACCGTTAAGGCCCTTGGGCCTCTTGTTTGTTTTGATTTTTAATTAAGCTATGTGTATAAATTCTAAAAATTTACTTGATAAAAAATTCTCATTACTTTTGATGGCAGGATCCAACCTCCTTAAGCTGATTCGGCTTCAATAAGGAACCAGGTTTTCCCAATTTCCCAAAAATGATGAAAATTTTCCCAATATGAACGGTTCCGGCCCCAGTCCCCAAAATTGGTGTGAGAGCCCTGAGCATATGTAAAATTGACTAAATAGAGTAATCATTTTATCTGTTTTCTTACAATTAGCAAATATAAGGATGTCTGTATGTGCTGCAGAACTAGCCACACACTGTATCTGACTGCTGTGATTGTAGAATAAAAGTCAGGGCACTGTTTTACAAAAGAACTAATATCCAAAATTTCAGCTAACTGTAAAATCTTGCAAAATGAATTATTTTGTTACAGATTATTTCATAAAAATATTTTTCAAAGTTCCTAAAATAAATAAATAACATTTTCAAATTAACATGAAGAAAAAAGCTATTTGCAAAATTACATTTTGGTCGTAGTCGTATGTTCTCTTGTAAAACAGGGTCCTGTTTCTCCAGCGGGAAGAGCACAAATAAAAATAGGTTTTAACCTTCTGTTTGTTGTTTCAGCCATAAGACAGGAGGGGAGAGGGGGAGGGGGAGGCCCCAGTTTTATTGTGATCTGTACTGCTGTTTCCTGTATTCTGGCTCTCATGCTGCCATTAAGTGGTGACACAGACAGCAGGCTACCAGATTATCTTCATCTGACAGTGAACCAGAAAATGATTGCAGCATATATTCTAGGTAAATTGTTCATTGAAATGTTTACTTGAATGTCAGTCAAAGTTATATTAATTTTGTAGATCATCATTCCCTGCCTTTTTCAAAGTATCATATTTTACTAATTTTGATGGGGCCAGGTTCATTTCAAGCACAAAATGAAATAATCAGTTTTGTAGTTTTAAAGAAGCAAATATATCAAAATCATGATAAAATTTTGAAAAGTTTTGATGGTCCATTCTATAAATTAATAGATTTTTAAAAAATGAGTAATTGTTGCTTACTTACAGATATCAAAAGCTAGGCATTGATACAATTTTTCCTTGAATTTATCTCCCAGAAGCTCAGACTTAGTCAGATTTAACCTTTGTTTGTAAAAAAAAATTAATCCTTACCAGCAGATAGTGGCATATACATTTTTTATCTTATTTTTAGGTCTTGTCACCATGGTCATTTTACACGTATGACCCACCTAACACCCTATGAACCTGTAAAGTTCTAATAAGATCTACCAGACCATTGATCAAGAAACAGAATTAAAGCTTATTCCTTAGCAGTGTCCTGTATGTGTAACAGAATCTGTTTGCCAGCACAACTTAATGCTTTGTTTTGCCTTATTTCACATATCATAATTTATGATCCCATAGTATTACGTACACAGAAAGACAACTTATTTTGGAGGGGAGAAATAATCAATTTATAATCATCATTATAGATATATGTATGTGTAAAAATATTCACTGTGCTTGAGTATGTTTTATAGTTGTGTTGAACATTAATTACCTCATATCCAGTTCATGAACAGACAACTGTCAGGTCACTTGTGTTTTAAATAATTTATTTGTAGATAACTTTTTTTTTATTTGTATGTATTGTAAAGCAGTGTGAAAAGTATGCATTTGAATTTTTAAAATTATTCCTTTCGTACCTATAAACAGTAGCTTCAGAAATTAACCTATTCCAAGTTGTACTGTAAATTGTGTAGATAAAAATTGCCTAGTTTGGAAGAATGAGTCGTATTTCTATGATAGATGTTTGTATTTTAGGCATTTCATATTGTATATTTTTTGTGCATAAAAGTTTTTTTTGTATTTGATCACTTACCGGTAAACATATTGTACATATATTGAGTAGCATTTAAATATGATGCGTGCAATAAAAGACAATGTGAAACTAAATACATTATGTGTTTTGATCTGTGGATGATGACATAGAAAAAATAACACACAAGAATAGTGTGAAGAGGGAACTCACTGGCCAAACATTTTTCTTAAACTACACGTCATGTCATAGTAAGTGTAAGTAAAATTCCATTATTGTGTCCATAAACAAGCATGGGACAAATGCTTTCAACAGTTTTGATGTATGTGCTTTTTAGCTCACCTGATCCAGAGCCTTAAGTGAGGTCTGATCCTCAGCTGGGGTATACAAGGCCAAACATGCCACAAAGTGCCCTTAAGTGAAGGGATATAAGTTTGTTTAAATAAAGGATTGTGTCATTTCACAATTAAGGGAAGTGAAAAAATGGTTGTGATCATTTAGCAAAAGGTTCATGAGCCACAATATTCACATGAGTAATCTTGGTGTTCTTCAGGAGGAGGAAATATTTCCTCCTTATTCTCAGGAAAAATTTGAACTCATATTTTGGCCCCTCCTAAGATCATATAGGGGTCATACCATTTTTGAATCCACACAACATGGAGATACATGTACTTGAATATTGATATAACTAACATGACCTTCCTGTTCCATAGAATTCTGTTCTTGCATACATGCATTATATAAAATTCGATCCCCAACATCAGGGCTGAACAAACTTTAATCCAAACTACTTGGGAATGATTGCCTTTTAATAGATTCAGTGTGGCTCTGCTGATTCTAAAACTTTTTAATTTCTTTTATATTCTCATGTGTATAAACTTTGAATCTCTATTTTTAGACCCTGGCTCCCAAGCCTAATGGGCTATAATTTGAACAAACTTTAATTTGCACTACAGTGCGATGCTTACTTATTAGTTTGACATCATGGCTTAGTGCATCTTGAGAAGAAGCCATATTGCAGCAAAACCCTAACTCCCGGAGCAGTGACTGAAACAATTTTGAATCAGTACATTGTACACTGCCTGAGGATGTTGCATATTAATATGAATATTATAACCTCGTTGTTCTTGAGTAAAAGTTTTATGTATCCCTATGTATAACTTGGATCCCATATTGTGTCCCCACCTAGTTCCCAAGGGCTTTGATTTATACAAATTTGAATTTGATTTGAACTCATTATGGGAGCTTTCACATTAGTTTTGTCTTTTATATCCACTAAATTTTCTTTATTCCGTAGTTATATTTCCTTGAGGGGGTATGCATCTTCATTTGAACATATCTACTAACTTTACAAGTTTGATTGAAATTGGCCTAGTGGTTTTAGAGATGAATTTCTATCTAATCAGAAAAATTTACAGTTTACAAAAATTCACACGAAAGACAGACACACGGAGACTGAATCACTCTTCATTCAGATAATTGAGCTCTAATCGCTGGAACAGAGAATACGAACATGTGAAAACATCTTTATAATTTAATTCTTGGGGGGGGGGGGCAGATTTTGTGAATAAATAATCTGTCCTCGAAAATAATAGTTCGCCCTCAACTGTAAAGAAAATAAATAACCTTTCAGTGGCTGGTGCTACTACTAACCCCCCTCCTCCACGGAATAGGTTGAGACCTATAGGGAAAGTTTTTCTTTTATTTATTTACTTTTTGGCATGTCAAGCATTTTTCGGTGAAGAAGAAAATAAATAATTTGTCATCTTAGCCATATGTAAATAATCTGTCGTTTACAAAAGTCCTTCACTGACATGAATATTAAAAAAAACTGACTCGAAAAAATTGCCTCCTCCCCTTCAAAATCAAATGGTATAGTCCCCTTCTGGCCCTTGAGGCCCACACAAGGGGTCCAAGTATTAAGAAAAACTCAAGAAGAATAGGGCCACAGTGATTCGACTTCTATTACAAGATAATATCACTCATATGAGACGTCACCAGATGCCTATAAAATACTTTAAATTTAGACTTTCGTTCGATACACCGGGCCATTGATATTTCTCAATGTTTAATTCTACAAAATTACTTTAAAAGACATAATATAGACCAACTCTTTATAAGAACAGAATGGCGATATTCAACAAGAGATATGAAACAACTGAGAATGAGTGCTCTCTCTCTCTCTCTCTGACAAATGATATAATACAAATTTATTTAAAAAAAAAACACTTTCTACAATGTCAGACAAATTTTTAAAAGTATTAGTTATTATAGTTAAGTTATAATACGAGACTAGATCGTTTAATTATTAAAATTCCTTTACTAATATTGAAGTTAAGGAGGAAGACACCCTCCCAAGGAAGATAATTCAAATATTTATGAATTTACAGAAGTGTATTAGTGCCATGTAATATTTTATTTTAAAGTTGGCTTTTCCAACTTTAAAATTGGTAATTCTATAACTTTTCCAACTTTAATCTTGGCTTTTCCAACCTCGTACAACTTCAAGCTGGATTCGTGTATTACAATGGAAAGAAACGATTCAATTATGCAATTATGTTGAAGAAAGAATTATTTCATTGTGTTTTCATTCACAGAATTGATATATTTAGTTCAGTTGTATTTGTAGCATGAAAAATAGTGGTGATTCATCCTATATATTGAACACCTAATTATGGTTTCATTTCATTAAGCTTATTCTTTCTTACGAAACAAATCTCTGAAATAGGTATGGTTGAAATCCTGTCATGTATGAAGTTATTTCTCTACAAAATTATATAAAATGGATCAAATGAAATACAAGAGCTTTAAAATTTGGAAGTTAAACGTAAGATCATAAGGAAGGTCAAGGTAAAAAAAATAATTGACACAGTTTAATTGCTCACAATTTGTTTCAGTTATTAAGTTTGCATTAATAAAGTTGATAATAATTTAAAATAAAAGGGGAAAAAAGGTAAGGAAAAGGATTAGAAAAGCTCAAGTTACATGTAAGTTGGAAAAGCCAAAATTAAAGTTGATAAAGTTGGAAAAGCCAATTTTAAAGTTGGAATTACCAACTTTTAAAAAAATCACCTGGCACTAATACGCTTCCGTATGAATCACCACATTTTCAACAATGATTTGCAATTTTATCTATCTTTGTCCCTTTTACATATGCATTTTACTATCTGTCCACGTCTATTAGGAAATAGTCATAAATCATTTTAGTGTGCAGAATGTTGCTATCCTATAGTATTAATTTTTTTTTATTCAAAAAAAAAAAAAAAAATTCAGTAGAAAAATAAATTCCTGTTATCTAATCATATTTCTATTGTATATAATTTAAGATAAAAATGTAGAGTTATCTATAGATAACCAACAGCAACATCGCAAGGGGAAAAGGTAATTACTAGGGATGTCATTTTCGTCAATAATTCCTATTCGAATATTCAATGGAAGTATTCGAATATATTCGAATATTCGATAAAATAAATAAAATATGATTTATTTTAAATGTACATCATCATACTCTCATGGCAGGTTTTGAGACAATATTTGGAAGTAAAATTGGATATAGACTTTTGTAGTGTACAATTAGGAATTCTACTTTTGGTATATGTCAATGTTTGAAATAAATAATTGACTTAAGTGTATACAGCTGAAATATAATTGTAACAAATGATATCTATACAAGCTCAAACTGAGGAACCTACCGTCTATCCAGGAACATGATTGTCGTATACTCTTCAGATTTAAATACATGCAATTAATTTCAATTATTTGCTAATGAGAGATATAATCTTTAATACACTGTTTTGAAAATATAAATAAAACTTCCATAGACAATTTTGTTAGGTTATTAATTTCCCGGTAATGATTTTAAATATTTCGGAATATATTCAACCCAAGAAAACCAAGTAATTGATGCAGTATTCTGAAATTGAGTCCTTTACGATATTACAGGCTGCTTTTATCAAAGATGAAACTTAATGTTTAATTAAATTTGTTTTCATAAGTAAACTGTTCACGTCTATTAGACATTTGAAGAAGGGTTTCAATTCGTTGTCCTCGATTGTAGAACCGATCATATTAAACTGTTGAAAGTACTTTTTGTACTATACATAAATAACTCTTGTTTATTTCGTGTTTACCCTACTCAAAAGGAAATAATTTAGATCTATAAGATAAGAAAGTAGTGAAAGAAATCAAGAGATCAAAATTGATCGCCAGTTAATAAATCGGGATAATTCAAACAGTTTTAACAAAAATTCATTATCTCGTTCTTGTGAAATCTGAAGACATCGAATATTCGAATCTTAAATTCATATTCGAATATTAGCTCATCGAATGAATATTCGAATGTTCGAATATTCGTTGACATCCCTAGTAATTACATACTATGTGCAATATGTGTCCTCTACTTGTGTAACTTGTTAGATTACAGTGTGCTGTAAAATCAGTAGATAATAATATACAAAAGGTAGATCCTTATAAGTTTATACTTTACAATATGTATGAATTAGACTATATTTTTATTAAATGATTTTGATTACGTCTTTTCCTAGGAAGTTTAAATTTTGAATTAATTTGAGACATACCAGAACGTTCGATGTCAATATACATTTGCAAGACACTTTGCTTTGGAACAATATTCCTATGGGGTAAGTATTAATTAAAATAGAATTCCAAAATCATTGCTTTTATTAAAAACGAGAAAAAGAAATAAAAATAGAATTGAATTCTGATTACTTTTAAAGTTTTTACTAAATTAGTTATTACACTGTTCAATTGCCACAAGTACATACACCACAGCAAGGTACATGTACATGTATGTCAGATTAATTATAATAGAACAAAACAACCGGTAAACCAAAGGCTCTACGTGGCCACTATGGGTCAAAATATTTTCGTTGTAATTCGTATGTATAAAAAATCTATGAAATGATTTCTGATAGAATGTGCTACTTTTTTTTAACGTAATACAAAAAATAAAGGTTAGGCATTGTTATATTACCTCTTTCATTACAAGAAGGGCCTGTGTTGGAAGATATATTTTGTAAAGACGAGGGCTTCTAAGGCAACATCTATTGCGCTTTACTGTATTTATGGATAGATTGAATATACATGTAGTTATTCAAATTTTACAGATTTTCCAAACCTGGCTTTGATATTAACACCATTTTCTTTTTGATTTGACAATTTAAGCATTATCACTGACACAAGGATCAGAGTATAAGTACATGAATGACAACAACGAGACCTGTATTGATGCGAAGATGGACGTTCTGTTTACTCTGAGTAATGGAAATGGAACTGTAAAATTTGATGGAAATGATTTCACTGTGAAGAGCGGGGATTGTGCAAATGAAGGAGAATATCAGGCAGTGCTAAACCTTGGAAATTCCAATGAAGACCTTCTGGCCTTGACTTTCAATACTCAACCTGATTTATCAGTGAACATGAGCTCGATGTTTATATTTGCTCCATTTGAGTTCTTTCCAGGAACACCCATAGCAAGTAAGATGTTATATTTACACCACACATCCTGTTAATAAATATCTACAACTAAAAGAAGACGTGGTCACCATTTATCTTCTTATCCATTTTCATTACAAAATATTGATTGATTACAGCTGCAACAAATTTGTTGGACACTGGAGACTTGAAATTCGGATCAAACACCCAGCTATACCAGTGTGAATCCACTCAGAGAATGACCTTGACTGGGGAGCTGGAAGGCACCACTTATACAATGAACATGGACATGTCTAACGTCCAGATACAGGCCTTTAATATAAAGAATGGAAACCTCAGCATTGATGGTTAATATCCAGTCCGGAATTATACAGCTGAAACCTTGGCTATTTCCCAGTCCTGTCACAACCTGATGCTTATTATCATGCACACCACAATATTCGTTTGTTAAAAACTCTCATCCACAACTGTCTTTAAGAAAATGTCTACAATTTTTACTAGGGGCGATATTTTTTAATCTACAAATGTACAATATATATAACATTTTTGAGAGGCATAGCATTAATTTATATGCAGTCTTTTATTATTATATTTGTAAACACGGTATTCTAATTTATATCTGTGAGTCGAATTTCAAACTTTCACTTCGATTGATTTGCTTTTTAACTGAACTCAGGTCAGAGATAAGAGCTTATAAATGCATTAGTAAGGTGTCCGTCCGCCTGCCTGTAATCATTTTTTAAAAAGCTACTACTTCTACAGATTTGTCCGATTTCAACAAGACTTGATGCACAAGTATACTATTCTAAGATTCATAATTCCATTTATTGATTTTTGTTTTCGACAAATGGTAGTGCCATGGTTATTAAAAATAGAAATTCTTTGAAAATATTTCAAAATGCTGCTCCTCCTACAGTTTTGGTCCATTTTCAATAAGACTTGGTACCCAAGTAGATTACACTAAAATACATCTATGAATATCGGTTTCTGAGTTGGACAATGTTGCAAGACACTTCTGGTTTAAAAGTTATTCAAAGAATTTTAAATAAGTATTCTTGTTTAAAACATAATTTCATATATCCGTTGAAAGAACTTCTTGTACATGTATAATACATACAATGTATTTAAAAAGAAGCTAAAATGAAGTTATGGTGCATTTTCGTAAGTACATTATGATTTTTTTATTGCCAGAAAGTTTATATTGGCTTCATTGCAAGTGATGCACTTCCCTGTCAAATCAGCTTAATTATCTTGTTACCATTATTGTACATACGAGATTCAACATTCCAAATTAAAATAATAAAAAGTTTGCTAAATTTATATTAAAAAAATGTTGGTGCGTATAATAAATGTATAGGTTTTATTAACCTTATGCCCATATAAATATTATATATATTTGGAAGGCAAGTGCTAACTCATGCTGTTGGTCTTGGGAAAAACGAGGTAAACATTTAATCTATTCTGTATCACACTATTTCAGTTTTTGTGTGTAGTGCTGATCAGATGACAACTGTAGCACAAGAGACAACAAAGGCGACCTCAGAACCCACTCAACCAACAACAGAACCATCAGCATCTAATGTAACAACAGAACAAACAACAGTCGAACCGTCTAACGTCACATCAGGGGCCCCTACCAGTGCACCCCCAATTCCTCCATTCCCACCAAAGTCCAGATACGAAGTCACTGAGAACAAAATAGTCTGTCTCATCATGGAGGGAAGCTTCCAGCTAAAAGTGACTTATACGACAAAGGATAATAAAACTGTAAGATTTTGTTTGGATTCTAACAACAGAATTTTAAGCACAATCAAAATTCTATTGACCCATCAGTACATAGAGGGTGTTTCAACAAACGTCCCAACTTCGACTGTGTATAATTTTTGCACGATAATAAAAAACCGACAAAACTACTGTATTAAAATAATTATGTTCTCCAGCAATATATATTAAAATATAATCTCAATGCATGTATATTATAACATCATAATTGTTTTTTTTTTATTTTTGATTACATCATCAAAAATTCAGGAAGTCAGATTTAATTTCATTTTGAAATCATGAATGGAAAATTTAACCTTAAAGAGGTATCGATACTGATAAGCTTTATTGTACAATGCATAGGAAAATCGCCAATACTATAGAATAAGAAATCCCCAGATAAGAGGCATCTTTCTAGAAAAAAAAGTTTTGTTCAAATTATGTCCAAATAAGAGCAAAATGAGATAAGAGAAACTTATCCTGCTGCTGAAAACACGGCAACCATTTGGGATACATAATAAAATGACTTGAATGCCGTTGTTTTAAAAATGTCTCTTCTATAAAAAAAAATGATTCAGTTTTTATTTAAACTTTTCTGGTAATGTGCATGACGATTTTTTGCAAAATTTCCTTTCACCAAATACTGCATTACTATTTTTGGAAATTGCAAAGTCGGGACATGTTTGTTAGAACACCCTGTGCATGTTTGTACCAGTAAACATTACTGTTTAAAGCTGAAAAATGTAGGATTGTTTCACATTCGTACACACCGTGCACGCTCTCCTTCTTTAAGGGTAAGGTAGTTTTAATCAGATCATGGTCATCCGGAAGACCTTGGAGCAACAGAAATATAAAAGTGAAAAGGAACAGTTTTACAACAGCAGATATCTAAAGATCATGCAGAGGTCTTTTATAAGAATATACTAACCCTCTTGTTTAGTAAGCAAAACTAAATATGGTAATAAGTTATCTTTCATTACAGGCCAGTACGATTGTGGTTGTTCCAGTGAGCAGTAATGTCATAGTCACAGGAACCTGTGCCAGTGGAAATGAAAACTCTTCTAGTCTCACTATCAGACCAAAAGATGGAGAAATTAAATCCTTGACATTTAATTTTGAAATCATGAATGGAAAATCTAACCTTATATCTTGGTTCGTCGATGTGAAGATCCCAGATGCCATGGAATGTAAGTATCAACAATGTAGCCATTAATTTAACGACTGATTCGTAATGGATGAAATTCTTTTTTTTTTTTTTTTTTTTTTTGCAACTCAATGGATTGAATAGTAACAAAATTTAATCAATGTCATTTCCATATTGATTGTTCTTAAGTCCCTTTACCATCTGACATTATCTTAAAATAATGAAGTCGACAAGTGATTTTTGATCAAGTGACTACAACGCACAATTTGGCTGTTGAGTAAATTGACCTCCTGTGGAAGTGAAATTAATTAAGGTAACCCACATTTACTAGAGTTGATCCGGTTGAACATTGCTTCGTCTGTACTAGCAGTAAGACAAAAGTACAATTTGCAGGTTTTGTATTTATTTCAAATTTATGCCAATAAATAATATCGACTTTAAACATAAACCGAGTAAATTATGTTACAGGCACCAGGAGGGTCGTTCAATAAGTAATGCAAAATGCGATCTAAAAATAAGAAAAGCAAAAGAAACAGTTTCTTTTATTTTTAACTCCTCAGAGTATCCCCTGTTAACCTTTACACATGTCTAAAGTCTTTGTAACCATGATTAGAACATCTTAGCATACTCTTTTTTGGGGATGCTCAAAAGACACTGATGAATATCACTCTCCATGACCTACCTCAAATTGTAATTGCCCAGATTAATTAAATAATAAATGCTTCCTTTGATTGTTTCTTGAGTTTTCTGGAATAAAAATATCTCACATTGACTGAGTTATAACCAGTACGGAGGATGGCTATGCTCTGTAAATATTCCTTTGTTTAAAATTTCCTTTGTATATCTACGCTGAATTGCAGCAGCGTTGTCAGACAGAAGAAAATTAACTTGGGGACCGGTATTAGGACTTCACACACAGAAAAGCTGCTGAAAGTTTTCCAATGCAATTTCAACATTAAAACTACCATTATGTTTAGTGTCTTACCAATATCTTTTGCAGTAAAGAAGAAGTTACGGTTTGGGCTTTATTGTGCCCTTAAAATTTCATGTTTTCAAAAAGTTATGAAATTGGCCTTAATATGAGTCGGAGTATATATGGATGTGATAAATCATAAAAAGAAATGACATGAAGGAGGTCATTTCTTCAAATATGACGTCATTAATTTGGTACATTTCTAAGTTTTAATTAGAAAAACCTCAAAATGACTCATCTCAGGGGTTATTTCCCTAAAGAAAACAGTGTTAACAGCCGTCGCCCGCTTAAATTTTCAGATATGTTGTGTAAAATCCTTTGAAAAATCACATTTCTCAAAATCTTTGTGGGCGATGCATGTGCTCTATTTTATCTGAAAGAAAATTTACTGAAAAATGATGTCTTCTGCAACTTTTTAAGAAAATATGGGAAAATGCACAGGTTCATGACGTCACAATTAGTATTTAGGAGGTCATATGAGAAAAACTATTGGTATGTTCTTACTGCATGGAATTTCAATGATTCAGAAAGGATGAGATTTAATTTCTTATATCATTTTGATATTTAAATATACCATGTTGCACACAACATCGACATTTTTTAAGCTCCTACAGATTTTGATCGAACAGTTCAACTGCAATTTTACAAAACTCATTTTCCATTTTCGAATTCCTGATCCATCTGATCAACGTACACTGAGAAAGGCTTGTCTTTCCAAATATCAAAATCACACGATGCGCATTTTTTACATACACCCTCATTTTTATTTTCTTGGCAGAGACCATTCATAAAAACTGTTTTCAGCTCAGTGTAGTGGCCATGTTTACTTGAAAAGTATATTTCTTACCGTAGACCTGCAGTTTTCGGTGATTATGAGTTCATAAATAGTTTTTCTTGACTGTAAAAAAATCAAATTAAATGCGTTTACATTTATTATGATAAACCGTACATTGTATGTTGAATTACCTGTTGAACAACCCTCTGGTATGCTTTAAACCATGATCTTTGCCACCAAAATTGGTAGCCCAGAAATAACTTTTCAAAACGTAATAGTAAAAGGCCTCCTATTGTAATATAATTATGATAGAGATTTGAAATACATGTATTTTAAATAGTTCGATCTTAAGAATTAATGGAAATATATTTGTTTTTCTTGATAACATACAGTAAATGCATATCAGGAATCATTTGAAAATGTACTGTTGAAGTGAATATTATTACGACAAATAATTTCCAGCTGATCTCAACTATTCAGTAACTGATAAAGTGGAATTATCAAGTCCGAAGTTATATTACAAGTGTGATAAGGGTGGAAACATCTCGGACAGTGCTCTGGCCTTCATGTACAGGGATTTAAAAGTACAGGCCTTTAATCTGGAGGACGAAAAGTTTTCAGAAAATGGTAAATGTATTACCAACATGTATAAATGATGTGTTGCAAAATAAAGACCCATTTCATGCAGTCTCAAATATATGTAAAATGCACTTTTACACTACTTGGAGGCATACAGATTTGATCAATCGCACAATGCTCCTTAAACTTGAATGTGGCTGAATGTACATTTTCATTTCTGTGCTTGATGTTTTATGCCACTGTAATCGCAGATCGTAAATTCTAGTGCATTTACGAGAGGTGATCAAAAGTTCGCGAACTAATTGAATTATTTCCTTAAAAGAAATAAAATGAGTGTCCATTATTTTTTAAAGTAGTCCTCTCCGATTTTAATGCACATCTGCCATTGTTCTGCCCATGCGCGAATCACGTGATCCAGGCGGTCACGTGCAATACTCCGTAGCGGTCTGTTCACAGAAGCTGAAAGATTTTTCCGAGTCTTATATTTCTTATCATGCAAGTTATTTTTTTATAGCAAGAACAGTCCCTCTGTCAAAAATGACTAAATCTCGGCAATAGGATGGTGGATAAGGATATCCCTTCCCAGATTTAGCATGGTGACCATCACAGCCCGAGTCCTCTGTCTCGGGAGCGTCGTTTATCCAATGTGGATAAAGTATGGGCGCCTTCTTTTTATCATATCTCATATGTTTAAAAGTCTAAAGGAAACGAAATTTTAGGGATTTAATAATTATAATATTGTTAAGATATTCAACTATTTTTCTACTTGTAACTTGGCTATGTTTCATAACAAATTGTCAACTAAGGACAATTCTTTATTTTATCTGGGCAACAGAACAAACATCATTTTTAACCATCTCTCTGCCTTCTCTAAAACAATCAATCCAATTAATAAATGAGCTTCCGGTAAGTCTTTTGTCTTCGTAAACCTTGTCCAAATAACCATATTCTACTGCAAAGGAATTTCCAAGATATACATTAAACTTTAAAGCCGTTCGTTGCTCGAAAACAATTTTTTGTCACAATTCATCTACATATTGACGTTATTTTCACATTGTGATGTCACAAACACGGAGCAAAACATTGTATAACATCTGTGATTTATAAAACATGTGTATGACTATGTGTGTCAAATTTCATTCTGATCTAAATTGTGATTTTGTAAATATAGAGATAGTTAGCGAACTTCTTGATCACTCCTCGTAATTAATGGTATATCCATCCTTCTATCCATGTGTTGTCTTTCAATCTGCTGTTTGTCGTGAAAATGTTTACCCTTTCCCTTAACTTTTGAATAATTGGTGCTAGGGCTTTTATATTTTGCATGTGAATTCCTCGTGACAAGACATTTCTTTAATTACCGACATATCTGACCTTTTGATCTTGACCTTGCTGTAGTTTTTTAATCTACATGTACTATGCAACATTTTACCAAACTTTAACCTTAGTCATACTTTTTGAACAGTTAGTGGTGGTAGGGTGATTATTTTTAAATGTATTACATGCGAGTAGACCTTTTATTGAGTATCAAAAAGTGTATACCTTGGAGTTTGACTACTTTTGAAAAAACTTTAACGTTGGCCATAACTTCTAGACAGTTGATGCTAGGGATTTCATATACCACTTGTGTAGTTCTCGTAACAAAAGCTATCTTTGGGAACCAACATTTTTAACCTTGTTATCTTGACCTTTAAGTTTAAATACATGCTAGGACTTTCATATTTCACTTTTGTTTTCCTTGTACCAAGCGTGATTGGGAGGTCGTGAGTTCGAATCTCGGCCTCGACTGACCTCAAAAAATGGGTAGCGACTGTTTCTTCGCCATGCGCTCGGCACTTTGAAGTGAATGTTGCGGGTCCTTTGGATGAGATCTTTAAAACCGAGGCCCCGTGTCACGGCAGGCGTTGGCACGATAAAGACCCCTCACTGCTCAATGGTCCTGAGTGCCGAGTAAAGGTCAAAATTTGAAGCCCTTCACCGGTATATGGTGACGTCTCTATATGAGTGAAAAATTCTCGAATGGGACCTTAAACAGCATACAATCAATCAATTAATCCTTGTACCAAGACCTTTCCTTTGGTACTAATATTTTTGACCATATGACCTTGATCCTAGAGTAAGACTAACTTTTCACAACTTTAACCTAGCAATTTTTTCTGAATGATTGGTGCTAGGGCTTATATGTTTTACATGTGTTTTCTTGTGACAAGACCTTTGGTTGGGTACCAACATTTCTTAACTTTTGACCTTGACGTTGAGTTTGACCTAAATCTGATAAACTTTAACCTTGGCCTTGAGTTGCAATGCGGGGGCCTCAGTTATTCACCAACTCATGTTTTGATCTACAATGGTTTAATTTAGTAAGGTAAACTGAATTTGTTTGATTAATGCTGATCATTTAGTATATTTTAAAGCTCATAAACAACATAAATGATAGACAAGAAAATGAGGAAAAACTACATGATTACCAAATAATCTAAATTATCAATACGTAATAACCTTATTCTATATAATGTATGCAGTGTATTGATCTTGAAGTTAGTTGTAGCGATCTGATCTTTCTTTAGCTCTCCAGAGCCAATCAAATGAGCAATAGAACAGTTACTTGTGCCTGTCTGTCTGTGAATATATTCCAGACCTAACTGATAAAAAGTCGTCGATATATTTTAAATATTAAGATGAAGGACAAAACAAAAGTTCCTTCTTCATATAAAGCTTTTCAATAAATTCTGCTTCACAGAATAAAGAAACAGGTCGGCTAATAAACGAGCACAACAAGCTTAAAAATTTAACATGTTTAATGCTATTGAGGTTTGAAAAAAATTGACGATTTTTAACTTTTCAAAATGTTCTTTGGATTTTTTTAAATTTCATATTTAATTTACATCACTTTTTGAATATGATGAAGTACAGTACGTCTGAAGTTTCTTTTTAACAGCAGTTAACTTTCAGCCAAATGTAAGGATAGAGGCTTGATTGAATAATTTTTGGACCCCGCAATATATCTTTGTAAGAAATTTTATCTAAATGGTTTAATCTCTTTCAGGGGTGTATTGTGAAGCAGATTTTGGACCCATTCCAGTTCCAGGTTGCTCTTCTGTAAACATATATTCTGTATTAAGTGGAAACAATACCTGTGTTGTATTTAAGGGAAGCATCCAGTTCTATATTCCTTATATTTCAAAAACTGGCGTAAGTTTCAGATCACAGTTACACTTGTGCACATAGAATTTTGAATGTTTCTAGTATGTAATATTTAGATAAAGATAAACCATATGTGCAGATTTTCTCTTTTAATTCATAATTTTATTCTCAATCATTTTAATCCGCAATAAGTATATTTCCAAAATATATTAGAAAATAGAATTGAATTGCAAGACTTAGTGCAATAACTTAAGTATTATTTTTGGGTTTTCAAAAAATTGAAGTACTGCATTTTCAATCAGAAATTTAAGGTATTTGGGTTATGCTTCCAATGTTATGAATTTTTTATGTTGCCTCTTTTGATTTTGCCCCTAATAATAATACGTCATGATTATCGAAACAAGCCTTTTGTTTTGTTTTCAGGTCTATATTCCTTATATTTTTTTTAAAAAACTGGCTGTAAGTCAGAGAACACGTTCCTCAATAATGAAATATAATTTTTCCGTGAATTTGTCTTTGAAATATAGTTTTAACAGGATTGAAATACTTTACCAGGCATTTATACATGATATCAGAAGATGGTGTTTCCTAAATGAACATATAAGAAATCTCTTGAATTGTTCTCTTATAAATTTTAGTGTATTTATTTTTTAACAACATATTGAAAATAGTTTGAAAATCAAGAAATGATAATTGTGAATATTTTTATACTCATTAAGAAGAGATTGAAAAAAAGATAACTGGGAGACCGTTAGTTTCACTCCACAATCAAATAGTTAAAGTGTAGGATTCTGCATTTTTTAAAATTCATAAACATCATTTCTTGAGGCGTTGAAAGTAGTAGTTATTTATTTTTAATGTTTTGTTTGTTTTGATGTCTTTTTTTTTGTTTTTGTTTTTTTGTTTTGGTTTTATTGTTATGATTTGGTAAGTGTTCTCATTACAACTATATGATGTTATTATTCTGTTAGATAACCACAGAAGTGATTTCCCTGCCAGCAGTGTACAATGTGTCTGGTAAATGCAACACAACTCTGAATGGACTGTACTCTCAGCAAATGGTCATTCGTTTTTACGACGCCTGGATCTTGACAATTTACTTCTCATCTGATAAGCATCAAGAGACAGATCCATTTACAGCTGAGGCGGGTGTTGATAACTACATTTCACAAATAGAGCTGAAGTATGATTACAACAACGTTCTCTATAAGGATGCAGTCGATAGCAGTAAGTTTTGAACATATTTTCCATTGGTGGACTTTTCTGGCATGATCAGTGTTATGTTCGCATTTCAAGAAGCTGTTATCATGCTATCTTATTATCTATATATTCCATCTAAATTATATTTAAAAACGCAGTAACATAATGATAACTTGTGTAAAAAACAAATACCCATGCTCTATTACTTTCACAAATTATTTAACTTCTATCCAGTTTTACGAAGACATTTATAAATTCTACAAATAATACATAATTGTTAAGAATTTTACAAAGGAACTCTGAAAACAAACTTTGAATTCAGCTGCAGGCAACTACAAAAAGAATTTTGACTAGTGTATGGGAAATAGTGCAGTGCATCATGCTCATTACAGGGGAATATACGAGAAATGAAAAGCAGAAAATAAAAATGTAGTATTATGATTAAGTAAAATAATTAAGTAAAATTGATTAATACATGTATGAGATCATGTATCGAAAAAAAACTTACAATTTAAATTTGCAGTTCTTGGTAAAGAAATGTCAGTTGTTGCTCCCAATCTCAACAAACTTACAACGAATTATAACAAGAGCTACAAGTGCAAGAAAGAAACTACCATTCGTCTTCAAAATGGATTATCTATGGTTACCAAAGACCTTCAATACCAAGCTTTCAAAACTGGACAGTCAGCAGATTTCAGTAGTAAGATACATCATTTAGAATTTAAATGAATATTCAAAAGAATAAAGAAAATAAATATGTGTTCAGGAGGTCTAATTATGTATCATATAAATTATAATGAAATAAAAGAATCTTGAGAAGATAATCTAGGTCTGATAGGATTAACACATTGGGCACCCTGAAATATGTAACGTTTGATCTTCCTTCATGACGAGGTGTGTGTTTCAAGAAAAACGCCTTTGGAGATTCATTTACTGAAAAGTGGGTAAATTACTTGATGGGTACGATATATGGCATATCTTATGTTTTACTTATATCATTTCAAACTTTTTTAACTATATAATAATCTTTGCCCAATGATCTTTCAGAGCTACCTACCCTGTCTGTCTTCATAAGCATTGTTGTGGATTATTGGTTTTTGATAAGACAATGATAATTCTTAAGTTTTGAGAAGATATTAGTAATTCTTAATTTCAGTTTTAAATCTTCATATGGGTTTTACCTAAACAAAAGCCCTGTAAAAATGAAATACTGGGAAGTAGACTCTTGCCTCTCTTGTCAGTAATAATATTAAAGGTGAATAGACACAGATTTAAAGTTTATATTTTCTCAAATTTTCTGTATAATATCACAACTTATATGTTGCTATAGCATTTCACACGAAAATAAAAATAAAAACATATTTAATCTTGAAATTATTGAAACTACGAATTTCGGGAGGCGTTTGATTAACACATCCTTGCACTTTCACAATTTTTAACTTTATCCTTAATACTTAAGAAAAGTAGCAATTTTGTTGTGTATTAATGAATAATATTAAACTATAATCCAGAAAATTCAGAGTAAAAATGTGCAAAAGCAAAACCCACTCACTTAAGAATTGTCAGCCCGTGCTCAGTGTTGCGTAGTTGTGTACAGAGTTTAACAAATTGAATACACCCGTGAAACGTAAACTGTTTTGTAAACAGGACAAGAGCTCTGTTGTTCTTAATGTTTACGTTTCACCGGATGTGTTTAATTTTTAAACTCTGCACACATCACTGAGCACGGACTGACAATACTGGTGAGAGGATTTTGCTTTCTACATTTCTACTCTGAAATTTCTGCATTATAGTTTTAATATTTTTTCATTAATAAACAGCAAAATTGCTACTTTTCTAAAGTAATAAGGATGAAGTTAAAAGTGCAAGGATGTGTCTATCAAACGCGTCCAGAAATTCGAAGTTTCAATAACTTCCAGATAAAATAAGATTTTTATCAAATTTTCGTATGAAATGCTATAGCAACATATAAGTCAGGAAATTATACAGAAAATTTGAGTAAATATTAACTTCAAATCTGTGTCTAAGCACCTTTAAGAGAGGAAAATTCGAAAAGGTGTTATATATATATATCAACTATAGGAAATTTCTTCTACATTGAATGGATTGTTGTTGTTTTGTTCTCCCCCCCCCCCCCTTTTTTTGGTTTCTTTTCTTTTTTGTGTGCATGCATCATATAAACGCTATCATGTTTAAACAGGGGAATATAATATTTTTATCGCAATAAATGTAAACTCCCTTTTCGTTGTCTTTTTTCATGTCTAAATATCCTTTTGATAAAGATGTATATGCAGGAGGAAGTCCAGATATTGAAAAAAGATGAATACTTGTATATCGTCTCGTGCAGTTTGATCCAGATTTCAGTTTATTACGACTGCAATATACAAACTAGAGATACACAGGGAGAAATTTCAATTAACATTAAATTTTAACTTGTACATGTATACAGGTATGTCTAACTTTATATGACATAATCTGTCTTCTAAAGAAAAAGATTCTCTTGCATGCTAGGATTTGCTTAATATTTGCAATATAAAATCATTTCCCATAGTAAAAAAAACCACCAAATAAAAGAAATCAAGGAATGTATTCCAAAATTTCAGATTTATGCCCAAATATACTAGAAAAGTCATGATTTACCATGTATGTTTTTTTTATTCATTTATAGCGGCAGTCAATTGTGAAAGAGATGAAGATGACAAACATTATCTACTGTACATCGCTATAGGAGCAGCAGTCGGAGGATGTCTTCTTGTTGTCGTAGTGTTGGTTACTGTACACGTCATAAACAAACGCAGGAAATACGAACAATTAACTCTTTAAATAGGGATGAAAATAATTAATAACAATCAATAAGACTATTTAAAAAGGTTTTTTGATTGATTTGGAAAGTTTTGCACAATGCTGTGGTAAATTAATCTAAAATAAAAAATACAAGATAATTAGAAAACTAAGTGGACAGCATTCCAGCGAAACTCCGGGAGCGCAAATCCTTGAAATAATTTAAAACATAACTTATTTTCTTGATTGAATTAATGATCAAGAAATCTACAGAAATAAGAATTTCAGAGTGACATTTGTGGCATGCTATTTTTTTGGAATATTGTAGCGCTCTAAAAAATCATAATTATCACCAAATATTTTTTTTTTTATTTTAGTCTAGATCTACAACTGATATAATTCCGTCTATATTTTTATGAAAAATACGCAACTCATGCCATCAAGTACTTTGGTCGTTTCTGAATATAGACTACCTGAAGATACTTGCATATCAGTTTGTCTTATCATATAATTATAGCTTTGCAGTTCATTAGAGGAAGTATTTTGAAGATTTTTCCTACATACCCTATGTTCGACTTTGCTATCCCTTTATGGCCCTACCCTACCTCTGGGGTCATGATTTAAACAAACTTGAATGTACACTACTTGGGTATGCTTCAATAGCATAATTACTAATAATGAGTTTGCTGTTCTTGAGAAGATTAATTTTACAAAAACTCCTATAAAAACATTGATTGCTTATTGTGACCCCACCCTAGTTATTGATATTTGAAAACTTGACTGATTAAATGACTGACAAACGGGAGGACTTCAGCTTTTCCATCGTCAACTTCCCTTATATAGTAATATTCCAACATCACCTGTCTCCAAACTGATTAGATAAGTAACAACAAGTTTTGAGTATGATTTTTTTTTCAAACCGAAGCAAACTACTGAGAAAAAACTTAAGCTGAAGTTCTAAGGATTTCAGGAACCCCGTTTAAAATAAGCATTTGGCAAATTCTTGGAAAGTTATTATGACCTCGTATTTTGGTCTGACATGTTTCAAACCATTTGTTTGGCAATTATTTTTGCAATGGATTTGACTGTGGAGTACCCTGTATACCTGATCAATACAAAGGAGTCACAGTGAGTGTGCCCATTTCACAGGGATTTTTACTATTCCTGGGCACAAGATACCACCTTTAAACAAATTGATTTTGATACAGGGTTGCACTAACTCTTTTAATTTATACCTTTCTCATACTACAAGAAATTTATTCACGTGTATATTTATACTCATGAGTATATTTACACTCATGAGCTGTTCCTGTGTTTAACAGTAAATTTATCATGCTTTTTCATGTGATTTTATGTACTGCAATCTACTATTCTATAAGATTGTTTAAATATAATAGAAAGAGAATTCTTTCAAAAGGTATATAATTAATAAACATTGGGACTACCATATGATTCTTCATTGAGCGTAAAATTAGAAGAAAACCACAATCAAGCATCTGGTTCAAAATTATGCTCTGGGGAAAAAAACAGATGATGAACAATGGTTTGAGAATTTAAGAATTAAGAAAGACGTCGATCGTTTCAACCCTAGAAGGCTTGTTAAAAAGATATCTCCATTAAGAAATACCATAGATCATCTAGATAAACCTCTTTGCACACAATATTTGCTTTTGCATATTAGTAAATGGATTTGCACTTGTCCCTTGCTAGAGGTAAATATGTTTGTAAAAACATAATTATGAGAATATTTGCATAAATACACAAGAGCGTTTACACAGCGAGATATGCTTATATATTTACATTTGCTATGTTTTTCTACTAAGTCAACTGTGAAATTGATTTGAATACCATTTTCGTGTATACTCACGCGTAGAAATATGCACAGAGAAACTCCCGCTAAAGTAACGTCACAATGAGCTACAGAGACGTTAATAAAAATGTAACGATATAGGGCAGCGAATAATTCAAACAATGTGTACATTTTGGTACTTTTGAACATGTAAAATGTAAATATAATGAAATACTTTGAGGACCCAAGATGCATCAGTGGGTCCTCAATTTAATTTTTGAGAATTGTTTGTGCTTCATGATAAATATGCAGGCGTGAAGTGTTGAAGTTCATTCTCAAAAATTGAATTCCTATCTTATATTTACATTATTTTTGCCACAGATATATGTCATCCAAAGATCATTTTTTAAAAAACAAACAGTTTGCACAATATACCTGTAGTTTTGACATCAAGTATAGTATTATGATGTCGCGATGCAGATATTTTTGCTCACTCAAGGTAGTTCATGAAAACATGAACTTTTTCTTATTTGCAAAGAATCTTAAGAAAAAAGACTTGGAAATGTAAGTATTTAAAACTTAACACGACTCGTTAATACGCATACGTCATATTAGTTTTCCTACCTATTGTATCAACACTGGGGTGTATAAAAATCCTTCGCACTTAGTAAACCTGATTGCTTTTACCTTGTCCTTTTTGTTAGCGTCTTATTTCATTCATTTATTTATTTCATTTCATTAGAATTCGTTATAACAAATTTAAAAATTTGTTTAACAGATTAAATTAAACGAATTCCAAAAGTTGATATAACGAAGAAAATTTGATTAAACGAAATCTTAAATTTGTTATAACCAATAAAAAATCAGTTGAACGAATTCCACAGGTTCTTTCATCGAATTAATTAGAGAGCAAAAAATTAGAGAATTTGTTTTAACGAATTATATTTGTTCTAAAAAATTTCAGAATTCGTTTAAACGAATTTAATTCGTTATAACAAATGTTTTAAATTTCTTTATAACGAATTTAACAAATTAAACAGATTAAATTCGTTATAACGAATTTAAAGAAATTGTCATAACGAATGAAATTCGTTATAACAGATTCTAAAATTCGTTATATCGAATTCGAAATTATTTTTTGATAGGTCCTAAATGGGCTTCCATACATTTCCCTTTGGCGTGAAATACCCATTTTTTCTCACTATATCCTTTTTAACTTGCCTGTATTTTTTTTTTAAATATTAAATGTCTTTGACAATTTTTGTACCATATCTTTATTGGCAAAGTATGGGACAACAAAGAAAACATAATGAACATACATATGTTATGTTGGTTGACCTTTATTGACCCCAGAGGGGAAACAACTCTTGTAAATGTCTATTATAAAAATTTTCTATTCTGAAAAATGTAAGAAATGACATCACAACAAAATAAATTTAGCCTATTAGGATATTTTGCATAGAAATGACTAAATTCAACAAATGGCATTTCCCTATAAATAATCAAAAATCAAAATTCAAGCAATGCACATATTTCTGATCTATATCCAATTGATCTGCAAAATAAGAATTTCCTATCTTGAAAACTGAAGGAGGAGATATCAAGACAAATGGGGTACCTTAAATGCAACATTTTGTTAAAAAACGAGTAATTTCAACAGCTTGTATTTTTCACATAAATCATATAAATTATCAATAATTAAATCCAGGTAATATGCACAGCTCTGATGTGTACAATTGATCTACAAAACAAAAAAAGTTCCAATCTTGAAAACTGTAGAAGGAGTTATCCGAACAAAAGGAGTATCCTATATGCAATATTATGCAAAAAAAAAAAAAAAAAAAAAAAAAAAAAAAATGACCAAGTTCAACAACTGGTATTTTTCTCATAAATATTCAAAAATCTAATTCCAGGTAAAAATGCACATTTGTGATATGTGTACAATTGATCTGCAAAACAAAAAGTGTAGGGGGAGTTCTCCGGACAAAGGGGTTACCCTATATGCAATATTATGCAAAAAGATGACTAAGTACTATATGCAATGTGTTGCAAAAAGATGACTTAGTACAACAGCTGGAATTATTCTCATTCATTATTAAAAATCAAAATCCAGGTAATATGTACATTTCTAATATGTGTACAATTGATCTACAAAACAAAAAAGTTCTAATCTCGCATGAAAACTGTAGGAGGAGTTCTCCGGAGAAAGGGGTTACCCTATATACAATATGTTGCAAAACGATGACTTAGTTTAACAGCTGGTATTTTTCTCATAAATTAACAAAAATCAAAATCCAAAAAAATCAATATGCACATTTCTGATATATGTACAATTGATCTACAAAACAAAAAAGTTCCAATCTTGAAAACTGTGGGAGGAGTTATCCGAACAAAAGGGTGCCTTTTCGAAACCACCCGACCGCCATTTTCATAATTTCAATAACTGGATATTTTCCTACGAAAAATCCGTTTAAAAATCCAAATCCATGTAATATGCACATCTCTGATATGTGTATACATTTCTGTAATTGATCTACAAAAAAAAAAAAAAAATTCAGTCTTGAAAAGGAGGAGTTATCCGGACAAAAACTACTTTTAGTATTATCTCAGTCTTATTAAAATATGAGTGTTATTTTTTTCAATCTCGTTTTCATATGTACAACAACTCTAGAGGACAATGATGCTATTTACAAATTGCTAATTTTTTTTTCATTTTTCATCCAAAATATTGCTTTTTAAACTGTGAAATTAGCTAATCAGTAAAACAACATCTAAGAATTTATAATTATTGTTTTATAAAGGAATTTTCTAACCTTCGCATTCCACCTTAATACATTTTATCATTCTCTTACCTGTATTTCACAGTTAGGGCAAAACGGGAACACCCCAACTACAACGAGGTACATGTGTAGGTAAAAATTGACAAAATAAAGTTTGAAAGTACACGTACGTGATATAATAATTGTGTAGAATTGAACAATATGCTTTAAATACATGCATCATAGATATTAAATCAACTCAAAGGTTATTGTTTTTCTTTCAGTTATTTTTGTATTCTTAACTGAAAGTGAAATTGAGTATCAGATACTATATTTTATGTACTGGTAATACATTTTTTGCTAAATGAAGTGATAAATTTCATATCTCTCACTCAGTTTTAAAGATATTTTATTTACTAAAAACTTATAATACATATACTTATATTTGACGTATGAATTCTAAATTGCGGTGAAAAAGAATAGTATTTTGGAATATAAAACA